AAACTGGGCTCATTTGTCTCTCTGATAACTGTTTTCCACGTAGGCGTTACGAATTTTCTGTCACCACTCTGGCCGAACAAACGATGAAATCTCTTGGGCAAAAATACTGTCTTCCCATAGACTACATATATACAGCAACAGGATACAAAGATGACTCAGTCCCTCTCATCTTGACCTGATTTATTTTAATACCAAAGTTCTGCTTTTGTAAAAGGCTTACAGTACCTCCTTCTCCAGACAAAAAGAGAGCGAGACAAAAATAAATACAGTCTAAAAATTTTCATCTCGTTTTCTTCCCTAGACTTAGTCGTATAACTGTCTTAATGCTACCAGACAAAAAAGGTGTAACTATTGCAGGTTATGTCCTATTCTCAGTGCTGCGACACAAAATCCTAGTACCTTTCAAAGACTAGGAATTTCATCTAGACAAAAGTTGAGTTCTTAATCTTTTATTAATAAATTGTTTAAGGTCACTGACTAGTGCTCTGCAAGACAAAACTTCTTGGAAAATGGTTGCTGGAATTTGAAACTATGATTTTGCCTGGACTTCTCAGTATGAGAGATGAGTCGAATTGTCAGTGAGGCAATAGTTAAATCATTACTGCAAATCTACTTTAATGAGTTGTATGGGACACAGTCTCACGAATTTAACTGCATGAATCATCAGACATTGTGTACTTTTTTTCCACATTCTCCTAATGTATTTCTCTTTACTATAAAATATTTTTGGGTGTTGTTGTTTCATTTTTAAAATATAATATCTGATATTGATTGTCTGACAATAATCAAGTAGATTTTTTTTCCGCCATGAAAGAAAAAGGGAACTCAACCCAAGATTTCTTTAGTCAGGAAGAAAATAATTTGGGTCATGACTTTTGGTGGTTTGAGATGTTCCTTGTTTCTTGTTACTCTGAGTCAAAGCTCTGGTGAGGGCAAGCGAAGAGGAAAATGACAAGGAAAAACAGTGTCTTCAAAGCCAAAACCTGAGATGTCACTAGCAGTAGTCAGTGGTATCTTTTTTAAGCCTTTGGACTTTGCACAGGCAAGTCATTTAATTGTGTATTAAATCTTACCATGCTGTTGCTCTGTCCAGCTATGCCATCAACACTAAACCACAAGTTTTCGCATCACTTGTGAGTTTTATTACCATTAGTATGGCTTTTTGTGTTTAGAAACATTCATCCAAGATGTTTTCAGGGCATAGATGTTTCAATGCCATTTAAGCTGCTGTACCATTGAATTTAAAGCTTCCAGTGAATCACTGATAAAAATAGAGGGGAGATGTGTTTCCAGTTTATACATCTCTCAATGTCCTCTGATGAAAGTCCTTTGTTATTCTGAGCATCTTCCAAACATCTGAAAATCTATGTTGCTCATGAAGCAGTATCTAAGGCTTTTAAGAAAAATATTCAGGCCCACTGCAAGCCTTAGGGTGACAGTCCATAGATTTGAGTGTAGCCAACAACTTCGGTGTTTGGGGCCTTTCTGAATTTCTCAATGTCAGGGGATCAGCATATACAGCTTTTTGGGTGAAAGTATGGATCATATATTGTAGCTTTGCTCACATACTGAAGTGACACAGAGGAAAGACTCTGAGAGACTTGTCTGAACAGGCTGCAAACATTAACAATGGATACTTTACTTTACTTTGAAAAGAGGTGTATTTGAACTAGGACTGTAACGATTTAAGCCAATATGTACTTCATCTATGCTGAACAGACTTTGGCATCTTTACACCATCAATAAATCCGTCTCATGTTTTCTTTTCCTATGGACAGTACATTTCTCTTCTGTCATCTTTTCCTAGGTGGAACTACGAAAGTCAGAGGAGTAGATGGAAAAGAAGATTAAAAAAAATTGCACCAGTTTTACAAAGAATCTGCTATAGAATAGACTGGACAGGTTTGTTCAGCAACTCTAGCTTAAATGTATAGACCTGAGAGATAAACTTGCTACCAAGTTCATATTTGATGTGAATTCAGACTACTTTTCTTATTAAGAGATCTTGAGATAATGATGACAGTTTCATTTCTGGTTTTGTACAAATAGCTCTTGCAAGCTTCACCAAAATTTATTTCTATTTTGTGACTCCATCACCTTATATGTTGTACAATTCACTGGCAGTTTAAGGCATTCTCAAAAATGTTTCTGAGAGATTACAAACATCAGCTCAGTAAGGTCATTCATTATTATGGCTGCCTTTTACAAATATTGAATCTCTTTTACAGACGGAGTTATAAATAAAAACTCAGACTACAATAAACACCAACTCACACAAAACTGCGTTTTTCACTCTATGTGTCAGCACATCTCTGCTCCTTTTTCTCTCTCCAGGAACCATCTCAGCTGGGCAGAGTGAAAATAATCATCAATACTTTTACCTGAAGTCCAACTTTAATGAGATTCTCATGAGTTTTTCATTAAGATCAAGGAGTTTGCATTACCCTTTGCTCCAAAAAAACCCACCCGAGGTATATGTGAGTAACAAACAACTTGTATCCGGTCCACATAGTATACATTCAAACTAATGAAAACTAATGAATGATACGAAAAAGTGATAGTTTAATCCTGCAAACATTGAAATCTATATAAATGAGTGTTTTAGACTTCATGGTGCAGAATCATTTACAACTGGATTTGTCATTACTAGAAATATAAGTACACCTAGCCTTGGGCTCAAACAGCCTCCAACTTGTCAAACTTTAATTCAATTTTTATAGTTAAACACCTCTGCACATATTTTTATATGGCATAGTCTCTGAGGTCAGAACACTTATGCATTAGACAATGAAAGGATGGGTAATTTTTTTATATTGTTGGATCCATTGGGTACTTCAGCAAAGTTCAATGAAAGTCAGTAAGTAAATGCACTTCCCACATAGTAAACTCCGAACCAGGCTTAGGTTTCTTAAATATCATTGCCTTCAGTTTTATTCTTCTTCCTTCACTTCTCATGTCCTTCTTCAGTATATCAGACTACTTGGCTTTCCTCCTGTGCAGTGTTTTCCACTGTCCGTTCAACAGAATCCTCTGCAGGGAGCTGCTGGTCTCAGTCAAGGTGCTCAATTTTTTGCTCACAAGTGGCTCCTTGCCTAAGGGCTGCCATATTTTTCTTGCACAGCCTAACAGTTCCCACCTAACAGTTCCAATTTTAATCAGCATCCACTTCAGCACATTAATAGCCCTCCTCTCTCTCTCCTCAGCCACCACCTTGTTCCCCAATGCCATTCTAACATCCATTGCACACATTAGTAGCTTATTCAACATATGCTCATGGCAGCATTTCTGAGGGAATAGCTGTCATCACCCTACGCTTGTACCAAGCGTGCTTCATAGCACACCTGCACTCACAGCCTTGCAGCAGCTCATCCCTGAACTCAGGTATTCAAATTACATTGCAAATTTTACTGTCTAATTTTATTGGTTTCTCATGACCCTGCAGATATACCTTAAATACATATACATAAACTGATACATACTGGCTGTCATATCATAGAATCATAGAATGGTTTGGATTGGAAGGGACCTTAAAGATTGTCTAGTTCCAACCCCCCTGCCATGGGCAGGGACACCTTCCACTAGACCAGGTTTCAGTTTATAGCCGTTACCTCTTGTCCTATCACTACAAGTCCTTGTGAAAAGTCCATCTCCAGCTTTCCTGTAGGCCCCTTCAGGTACTGGAAGGCTGTCTCTCTGGAGCCTTCTCTTCTCCAGGCTGAACAGCCCCAACTCTCTCAGCCTGTCTTCATCGGAAAGGTGCTCCAGCCCTCTGATGCTCTTCGTGGCCCTCCTCTGGACTCAGTCCAACAGGTCCATGTCTATTCTTCACAAAGAAATTTTCCTAATTCATTCCTCCATTTTTCCACTCTAAATTCCAGTTCCTCTCTTTCATTGCTTCACAAGATTCACTATAAACATACTTTGGGAGCTTTTCCTCTACTAGTCTGAGTCATTATTTATTACAACTGTGGAGGGTAAAGGATGATCTTGTATAACCTGCTGCTTCTCTTTGCTGCTGTGCCACTGTCAGTCACGTTCTTGTAATTCATAGCCAGCGGTTTCCACAACCATAGGCATTTTGATGTCCTTTACAAGGATATCTTCACTAAGACCACAAACACAAAAGGCACTTTGTTTCATGAATTTATTTTCTTGAACTACATGTTGAACACATTCTCAGTAATCTTCCTAGCACATGCCTGAATCGTTATTTCTTTGGTATTGTAGATCACCTATAAAATATTTGTTTGAGACTCTCCAGTCATTTCTCTGTGTAATTACTCACTCAACAATTTAATAAATTCATCCTTGCATATTCATTCCCTCCACGTCAAAAAATAAAGCCCGGTGGTTTGTTCTGTAATTTGAGTGTATGCATTGTTAGACACTTGTCATCTTACTACAGTGGCACTGGTCTACATTTGAGGGGAAATCCACTACTGTATTACAAACACTCTTCTGCAGCAGTTTCACTCCTGAAGGTGTATTCCTTGTACACCCCAAATAAAATCAGCAGCATCCCAGCAGCAGTTGATTTCTCTTTGGGGCGTAGAAAGCCCAGACTGCTGTGCCACTAAGCTGTGCTTGTTAATTATGAGGCCACTGGCAATGTTTATGTTTCCATTTGCATTCTACTAGATGGCATGTTTGGAGAAAATTGTGTTAGTTTTATTCACACCTTGATGTGTACATGTAGCATTTGTGAATACTCAGAAAAACATTCTATTCATTCAAGCATTTTATTAACATTATTATTTATAACCAGTGTATTTGAAGTTTTAGAGCAAATGTTAGAGTAGATTAAAAGACAATAGGTCTATACATCTTTCCAATGCTCTCTGAAATTCTCAGATACATGAAAATGAAACAACAATCTTATGTTGGGAGCTAATAGTGCTCCGCCTCTGACAGTGAAACCTTTGGGTTCTAAACTGGTCATTGACATTTTACTACATTCACGACAGGCAGAGGAAAAGGGTAAAAGAATAGACTTTACTTACCCAAGGAGTTTGACTGAATGAGTTTTCCATTTAGATCCTGCTTTCTGGGAGTGTCTATAGATTCCCTCTTTGTAAAGGAAAAAATCTTCATATACTTTCATTATAGCTAAAAAACAATAGGAAAAATCAGCACAGTCAGCAAATATTACTTCTATTCTTGTTTGCTCCTTGAATTTTACCAGTGAGATTTTTGTTGTGTGTTGGACTGCATAAGTATTCTTTCTGAGTACAATAAATTCACTAATTGCTCAGAAGTTCCCTGCTGTGAGTGAACCGAGTTCTCTCAAAGGTTTCTTCTCTAGTTAATTGCATTTCCCCGTCATGGAAACTCCTTATCATGGACTTCTTCCAATACATTGGGAAGAATTATTGCCTTGTGTAGGTTTACACAAGTTATCTCTGTTCCCATGAAATCCAATTCAATAAAACAAATTTCCTCAAGGTTCATGTATAAAATCCTGAGTTCTGACAAGCATCTTCATATTCAAGAAAAGTATTTAACAGACAATGTATGTCCTGTCAAATATGGTGAGGTGATATGTATGCCTTTTTCTGAAACTCGGATACAGTTCATTAAGCACACAGCAATCTCCTTATGGAAAATTAGATAGTCTGTGTATATGTTCATCCTGACTTTCAGCTGAAAGCATGGGGAAAAAACCCTTTGTGTCCTTAAAAATGTAAGGCCAAAGAGCTGATGAACTGGAAATTTTATGCAAGACAGTTAAGATTACAGTTTGCATTTTAAGTCTATTCATTATTTCCTAGGAACATCATTCACTTGTTTTTATAAGAAGAATATTTTGGGTTTCTTTTCCACATTTGTTCTGCCACCTTAGTACCATTTGCTTTGCTATATGATGGGCTACAAGATCCAGAGAAATGAACATATTTTCTAGGTCTATATTACCTTTAGATTCCAGTGAATTGAAAGCATTAAATTATACTTCAGTCCAACTTACTTTTAGCTTATGATTTTAACAGTCTTAGGCTTCCACACAGACTGGAATATAAGAATTAGTGAAATCCAGTATCCTAAAGTCTTGCACCTTGGGAGTCCCATAAAGTACAAGTTCAGTGATAATTTTCATGTGGTTGGAGCATTTGTAACATATGTGCCTGGTACAAATCTGCAGTATCCAGTAAGGTGAGCTCATGCTGCAGTTTTTTCTGCCTGGCACACTTTCAAATTTCTTTTTCCTACCTGAATATTTTCATAAACTTAAAGGAAATTAGCTATCTTTACAACATCTTGGCCTCTATCATACTTGGCTGAAAACAGAAAACATTCACAAATTTTAGGGGATGAAAGAGAACCACTCAGAACATGGTGAAATGAGCCCACTTACCCAGGAAAGCTGGCTAAAAATATATTTTGTTAAAGAGGTCGCTCATGTAAAAAATGTATGCAGATAGCAAAGCATGGGGAATAAGCAGCCATGGTGGCAAGTCCAGGGAAGAGCTATATCAGTTAAATCATAAAAAAGTTAAATGCTTTTAACGAACCATGTTACAGCTTCTGTCGAGCTGCCTTCAGAACCAGAGCTCGAACACGTTGACGGCAATAGATCAAGTGGAAAATAGCGCGAACTTTATTCTTGTTTTCTAGCTGCATTAGAGCTCTCTGCAAAGGTTTCCTCCCTGGCTCTGCCCCCTGGCTCACCAATGTACGGAGCTAGTAGAATGACTCCTGTGGATGTTCCTGTACCACTATGTAAAATATCAGCTGTTGAGGTTTCTGAGCTGCAGAAGAGCCTGTGGAGGGAGAGCTCAAAAGTGGCACAAAGGAACCAAAAGAGGGAAGAAGACTCCCACTGGAGTCCAGGTGAGGTTATCAGAGGAGAAGTGAAGGGGATGAGTCATTCAAGAAATTACTGCAGAGGCTTCCTTGAATCTTATTTTGATGCCTTTGCCAAAGGGAGGCAAAGAAAAAGGGGTGAGTGCAAGGACTGCAAAATTCACTGCTCCCATGGGAGGTCTGAGGTTAGAAAATCTCTTCTATCATCAGGCTGAAAGAGGAGAAGGTAGTTTCATTTCTGCATCACATTGTTCTCTGAAATCAAGGTCTGTATATTCAGTTTCAGAGAACAATTTATTCTTTATCAGCAATCCTAAATCAAACACATGTTCTTGGCTCTGTGAAGAAACGTCATACCTAAATTATTTCTACTGAAATGAAACAGAAAATTTTGAAGTGTGTTTCCAGAATAATTTTAGTCTACATGAGATAATTTTATCCATGACTACATATTATATCTACTTTTAGTGCGTGTTTGTCTATATGTATTTATAGATTTGTATATATATGTAAATATATATACATGTATGTATATGTATATGTATATGTGTATCTATTCGTATAGACCCTCAAGTAGAAGCCAAGTAATGGTACAGTCTTTGGAGTTAAGTGAGCTGGCTACATAAAGTTTAGGTGGAAAGAGAGATACTAACTCGAAAACAAGCACTGAGATATTTTTATTTTTTCAGTGACTGTCCTGATATGGACTGTGATTTGGACAGGATGAGATGATCACAGTCCACCAGGCAACTTTGTTCCCTCCCACATAGAAGACACTCTGCATTTTCCAAAAGGAACTGATTAATTCTTAATGAATCAAAAAAGGCAGCAATTTTCGTAAGGTTGACTGTAACTCATGTGTGAGCTACCTCAGTCATGCTGAGCTGTCAGATCTATGCATATAAATGCAGCTGCTCATAAGATTCATTCCACTATGAATTCATCTGCATAAATTTCTTAAATTTGTGTCTCTAAGACATACGAAGATACAAAAAAACTAAAAGTAGTTGCTACAAAAGGAACTAAAGTGTAGCACTGTACAAGTGTAGCAGCCTAGTGCTTTCTCCAGATTGTTTTCTTGTCTCAGTAAATTAAATACTCCTTTTTTTCCAAGGTCATGCTAACTGAAATTAGAAGTTCTGTAGGGTCAAAACTTTGACGTATTGCCAACAACGTGTTACCTTTTCTTTTGACTGAGAATGACTGATGTGACAGAAAGGATTATTTACTTTTGTCAGTACTATAACTATCAGAGCATTTCTTAAAATTCTATTAAAATAAAAGATGAATGGGCAATATTAGATTGTCCATTTGAATGTTATCAAAGCATTAATGAAACTTCAGTATATTTATTAAAAATTGATCAGTAGAACAATGCTTTGGTTGTGCATCAGCCATCCATCCAAGAGGGGTGGACATCCGGCACTATGACCTTTCCCCATCACCCCAAACCCCACATCTCTCAACCTCTCCAGTTACACTGGCCTAGGGTGCTGCCAGCACCATCCATGACTGCAAATGGACAGTATTCAGTCTAAACAACTCTTCTGCAGTCCCTCAGCCCCTGCTGAAGTCTCTCTATTTCTCTAAGAGGTCAGAGATCTTCGTTGCACAGTTCAGCAGAAAAATTCATAACTAATAGCCCTCTACAACCAACAAGAGCATTTGGGATCTGAAAGTGGAACTTCTGGGAGTATTCCAGCACTGAATGATCTGCTGGAGGGCCCATATACCACAGCATTGCCTTCAGAGGAGAACAGGCTTGGTGGGTTGGCTTCAGCCAGTGGGGGAATCAATCCAAGCCCTAGAGAGAAGAGCTTTGCTGACACTTAACTCCTCCTGTACAGCCTCCAATTGCTATTTCATCAATGAGCAAAGAATCGTCATGGGAAAACGGCACATTTCCAGCACACAGATTTTGTGCAAATTTTCAACACATCCAGCTCAAGGTCAAGTTACTCATTATGGACTCATGCAGTGTAGCTGCCTTTAGGGACACTGCTTGCCCACCAAACGTCCCCAGATGAATTACAGTGCATGTGTCTGTTTTACTCACTGTGGAATGCTGTTTGTGTTTTCTAATATTTTGATACAAGGACATCAGACATTTAAATTATTTCAATAATAATATTGTCATCTTCCAAACTTACCATACCTTGCACTGGTCCTTTGTCCTTGATTTCTTGCATTATGTTGGTTTCCTGAGGGGAGGTGAGAGCAGCAGCAGAGAGGGCAAGGAAAGATAATACATTCTATCAAATAAAACTAAAACTCATGATAATTTATCATTGGGTACATATATATGTGTATATGGCATAAATGTACAATTGTACTTGTATTTCTGCTAGAGAATATTTGGTTTACGAAATGAACAAAGCCTTCAGAAACATATTTAAGAAGGACTAAAGCACAGTTATGACCACATACTTTCTTTTCTAGCTCTGATTTCCGTAAGACTGCAAAGCAGCAGCTTTGAAGAGATGATGTAAAACTGAGAAACTATAAAGGATTTAAACTATTCTGAAAATACAAAGGCAATAGAAAGGAAAATTCACAGCTTTAGTCTTCAAGTAAAGGGAACGTATTTCAATATTACAGAGACTTTTCAAGTCCCAAAGCAGAAAAATAGGTGAGAGAATCGGTGAACAGCATGAACTTACATTTGAGGAGACCCTGTAGTGAGAGGCACACCTATATAACCGATTGGATTCTTCTAAAGCATTGGGACATGGCCCATTTGTATAGTTTTTTCCATATTCACCTGACACATAACAGTGATTTTCACCTGATGGCTGCAGGTGATCGTTCCAAAACGATGGATAACAAGCATAGGATACAACCCTGTTCAGATATTAAAAAAAAAAAAAAAAAAAAAAATTGATAAGAAGCTTGCTTAAACATTTTTTGTAGTTTTATTTCAAGCTTTTAATTATTTTACAACTGTTGTATTTTAAGTATATTTACAGAGTTCATCATTCTTCAGAAGTGTGAATGTCTCATATCTTCCCCTGGAAGGCATTTGCTTCAATTCATATGCACAATGTTTATGATTAACTTTCAGTTGCAATAGTCTTCTCCCCACTCTTCTCCAAAGAAAGATAGGGTAGAAAATCTGTTTCAGCACTTGTCACCTAGTACATTCTTCTCGGTAATGATGCATGAAAGTTCACACTGAATAAGATCAATAAATTACCAATGTTGTCAGCAGGATCCATTTAGCGAAAATGGCTTGTGAAATGGGCATATTTGCAGCAGAAAAATTTAAAGGGAAATGAACAATTTTCTAGTCATGTCTACATTTTGTACAGGAATGCTGGTGAAAAGCTAAAGGTATTTTCTTTCTTTTAGCTAAAAAGTCTCTGACCTTCCATTTTTCTGCCAATATAAAGGGAACATTTGCTCAGCTTTTTGTGAACACTTGTTGAGACAAAAAGTCCTATGGTAATTTTTTAAGGGTTTTGGGACAAATAATTGGTGTTCTGTTGCCATACAAGTAAATGTGGTGCTTATCACCAGGAGAGGTATATCCCTTAGTGTTTAACACATCTTGCTTAACTGATACGAACAACAAACTTCCGGAGGGAGTGTACCTCCTTAAAAGAGAAATTAACTGCTACTGCTAGAAATACATGGGAGATAAGTACAAGTGGGAACAAAGCTTTGGAAGATGTTAAGCTCCTAGCTTTTGGTAAATTAGCCTACAATCCAACTGTAGAGCAGTACCAGAAGCAGCATTTGGACAGGAGCTCGTGACTGGGTTCCTCCATCTTGGTTCACAGGGGGAAAGAATACATTATCTGGAGTGATGCTGGCAGGAGGGACTTTGGCAGGTTGAAACACTGACAATATATGACATAGAATGGGTGAGACTGGGTAGGTATTAGAGAGGTGGGACTGAAACTCAAAATGACATGGCAATGTGCATTCAACAGCTCAGAAAGCCAGCCATATCCTAGGCTGCATCAAAAGCATTGTGGCCAGCAGGTTGAGGGAGGTGATTCTGCAGAAGTGTGAATGTCTGCCCTCTTCTGCCCCAGTGGAGTCCTGCATCCAGTGCTGGAGCCCTCAGCACAGAAAAGACATGGACCTGTTGGACCAGGTCCAGAGGAGGGCCACAAAAATGATTAGCGGGATGGAACATCTTTCCTGTGAATACAGGCTGAGAGAGTTGAGGTTATTCAGTGTGGAGAAGACAAGGCTCCGGGGAGACCTTATAGCAGCCTTCCAGTACCTGAAGGGGGCCTACAGGAAAGCTGGAGTAGGACTTCTTACAAGGGCATGTACTGATAGGACAAAGGGTAGTGCCTTTAATCTAAAAGAGTGTAGATTTAGATTAGATGTAAGAGATAAATTCTTTCCTATGAGGGTGGTGAGGCACTGGAACAGGTTGCCCAGAGAAGCTGTGGGTGTCCCCTCCCTGGCAGTGTTCAAGGCCAGGCTGGATGGGGCTTTGAGCAACCTGGTCTAGTGGAATGTGTTCCTGCCCATGGAAGGGGGCTTGAATCTTTAAGGTCCCTTCCAACCCAAACCATTCTACAATTCTATGATGAACGACTGCAATTCTACAATTCTGATGTTTTGCAGTAACATTCAGGTTATTCCTTCTGTAACTAAAAGATAGGTTTGTGCAAGGAAGTGAATGTGGACAAAAGAACAAACAGAGTCAAGCTTTGTGAGCTATAAACACGTGGCATCCAGTGTGCATCAAAGGCTTGGGACTGCCCCAGGGCCCTCAGGCCACAGGGCTCCTTTTGTGAGTTCCTGGTTATTGGCAGCAATGAGGCTCAAGGAAATTAAAATGACAGATTGTGCCATGATTGTGCCATACAGGGGTACGTGTCAGGTCTCTACATCTCCTGAAAGCATCCTGGCTATTTCTTAGAAAAGCATCTGTCTCTAATTGTTTTCTAAATGCTGAGAGAGTTTTTGCTCACACACAGCAAAATCTTTCCTACTACTTATTATAAATTTGCATTAAAGCATTCAAATTAATTTCTCTATTCTACAAATATGTTAATTTAAATATATTCAGCCTGGTAATCACTGGGCAGTTTCTATTCTAACAAAGATTTCAAAGCCACCGAAATCTATTTATGAAAATAATGATGGGGGAAATGTGCAATAGCAAATACATGAATTGTATTTAATGTTTTAAATGAAACAAAGACTAATCTTTGAATAACAAAGAAAATTTCATCTGTCTGACATGTTTCTGGTTGCAGGCTTCAAAGACTCAAAGGCATTTAAAACTGATGTTTTCAGAGGAGTGACTGTGGAGGGGCTGTGATAACTTGCCTGAGACTTCAACCCATGCTAACTTCGGATTTTAAAATATCCAAATTGCTAAACGAAAAGAGCTTCAAAGCACAGGTTAAGAGCCCTCATTGTACCCAAGAAAGGAGAGGGGCAATGAAACTAAGAAAAAGTGAGGAGGGGTTTGAATCCCTTGCCTTGGCAATACATAAATGTACTGCTGCTTCATACAGTAAGTTTGTTTCTTTCAGCTGTCTTATCCTGAATTGTTCAGCCGTTTTGAGTGTTCGACTAACTGAACATCCTTTTTACTTGAATAAAGTGAAAGAAACAAAGCATGTATTTAAAATGCACTTACTAACAGTCTGAAATACTCAAATAAAGGCACACCAAATTTTCCACTTGTTATTTTGTCCTTCTTATGAGATAATGGGGCCTCCTAGTTTTCTACATTATACTGCTACTTGTTTCCAAAACAGTATACACATTCCTGTGATAATGCCATGGAGGCCTATGAGAGGGTTTCTTTTAAACAGTATAATTAAACAGTTCACTGAAGCAGAACATTTTGAAATAGGCAGTCTTAAAAATGATATGTATTCAAGTAACTCACCAATGACATTGAAGTTTCTGAATCTGAAGAACTGAGAACTATATTTCCAAGCAACATGGTGGATAATTATGTTTCCCTGTGTATACTTAGTTGCCAGGATTTTTACAAGATGAGCACATATATGCTTCAGCTACCTTTAATAAGGTATGGCATTTTCCCATTAGCATTTCGTGGCAGAAAAATTGACCCTGAGGGGAATGTGTTTTGCTTACCAAATTCTTTCTGCCCAAACTAGACCAATACACCCAGGACCTGCAAAAAGCAATAATTCTGCCTACATGAAAACTGACTGCCCATCTAAGGTTGTTAGGTTGTTAGGCTGTTATGGCTTAGGACTTCCGTCTCACTGGCAACCCCTTTTAATCGCTTCTCAATGTCTGAAGGTGTTGTGGATTCTCAAATTTGTTGGCCAAAACTAATAACAATATTTCCTTATGACACCCTGCAACTGCTAACACTCCAAGTTACAAATAAGATCAAACCCTGATTAGAAGCAGTATTTGCATTCAAGTGTGCAAACTTTATACTACCTGAAAATGAAATGTTTCTTCCTCATTCTTAAAGACTATAAGCTTTTAATTTCCCTTAGTAGATAAAACAGATGTTTTCAAACCACATTGGTTCCTCCCAAATTATGGCTTGTAACAGAAAATGCCTAAAATTAACAATAATTAGAAACAGAATACAGATTTAATCTTTAGTAAATGGAGGAATACACAGAGAGAGAAAGTGAGAGTTAAACAGTGATTCAGCTCCCCGTATAGCAGATGCCACTATTAATTGGGTGCTCAGTGGTTCTGAAAAGTCAGGTCTCAGTTCTGGCCTAGCCTCATTGAACTTTATGGAAGTCTTCCATTGACTTCATTAGGGATAGTTTGTGCCAGCACTGGATTTTCCTGAAAATCTATCAAAAACCTGAGATAAGCAGGCTTCAGAAATCAGAAAAACAGATGCTTTAAAACAGTATTGAACACCTGCTGTGAAAATTTATAAGCCCATACAGAAAATCAATGTGCTTTCTCCTTATTGCAGGGTATGGAGATAATAAAAAAAATGATTGCAATATATTAGCTTATAAAATAAAAGTCACCTGAAAGTGTGAGGAAGCAATCACTATATAACATGGTTCATTCAAAAAGCAGTTCAGTCCTTTGGGCCATAATTTTCCATTTTTTTTCATTGTCAAAGGTAAAAGATTATGGATTATGGGGTTTCATCTACAAAAATAATTCAACTATCAGTCCAGTGAATCAAAAAGTTTATTGTTTTTTTAATACTATTTGCTCTTAGCCACTGTCAGAGACAAAATATTGGACTTGATGGACCCTTGCTTAGACCCAGCATAGCCGTTCTTGTGTTCTTCCAATATCTGTCCTCACAGATACCTGGATATTTTCCTGAAGATGTTTATTTGTGTCTGGAACTGTTGGAAGATGATTTCAAATAACATTTTAACTTGAGGAAAGAAAATCAGGATTTAGAAATGCTGTTTATAAAAATAGGTAATTAAAGATATTTTCGTGTGTGGTACTTTGATGACAAATCAATGATTGGGGATAAGAATAGGTAGCAGGCAAATGTCTGTAAGAGCACAATGATGTTGTACATATTGGAGCTGCTCCATGGAGACAAGGAAGCTGGATGAATACCTAAGAAAATAGTCTTGGACTGCGGAGATTCATTGGAGATCTGGATAGTCCCCCAAAATTTGTGATGGTTCTCACAAGTGCCCTGCAGATTCTTTACTCAGACAGTCAGCTGCAAGAGGCTGCTGAATACCACAAGGAATCTCAGGTAACTGAGCAATAGTGCAAGCATTTGGGACTTCGGAGGCAAAAAGACAGTTCATAGGTGTACTCTGGTGAGCTGAGGTGCCCTGTCTGTATGCTTCCATGCTTACATCAGTCAGAAAGCCTGCTCTGCACACCACTTTCACACTGGTACTCCGGGGTGAGTCAAGGAGCAATCTTCTCACAACAGTGTTTACATCTGCACAAGCTCCTGTGTGGGTACAGCTAGGTTGATAATGAAGCGCCTCGTAGAGCTTCAGCCTGCCTCGCTTTCCCTGTGGAAATAAGCTAACTCTTGTATACTTAAACTTCCTCTGCATAACAGGCTGCATTACTAATCACACCTGCTTCAGGTAAAAATAATACAGTTTTCTGGTACAGGATGAATCTTACTATTATGGACTTATGGTGGTTATGCCCATACAGAGATAACAGTCAGAGGGAACAGAAGACATGAAGGTTGTCATTTTTCTGCATTCCTTAGGGCTTTTCCCCTAAAAACAGCTTGCTCCAGCTGCTGTGGAGATAACAGTCATTAAAATGGATCTCTTATCTTATCTACACCAGCAATTCCTGTGCTCCTCTCCCTAACGTGGTAGGCAAGTAAACAGTCCAGTGAGAAAGAGTTGTGTTTACTCTCTTAAAAGCATGAGCTACTGATTAAAAGGAGCCTGTTCTTCCAGTTACAAAAGAGTTTTGCTTAAAACGTTAAGCTATAACTTTTATTTCTTCATGAATGAAGCCTTTGTCTTTACCCACTACGAGGTGCTCGGGGCCTTTGCTGGGTGGAACCCACTACTGCCCACTGTAATCACTCACCTAAAGGGTCTCCCACTGAAAATTTAGATCAAAACTAGTTTAGTGTTTAAACCCTGAGAGAGAAAGACAGAGGAACACTTGATGGAAATTCTCCCCATAACAATACAAAATCCTTGTCAGATCAGAAATAGTTTGGTACACTTGAAGAAAGCAGAATGATCACTTTGTATACTAAGTCCACGTGAATGACAGCACTTTGGTCTTCACTTGGATCCCCAGGCTGCCATGCCAGCTATGACATCTGATGTATCACGTCTGACATTCTTTTGCTCTTTCCATAGTTTGTTAGCTTGGTTGTTTTTTAACTACAATTTAAAGTTGATGGACTGCACACCTGAGATCTCTCTGTCAGTATCAGGTGTATCAAAGACAAAGTAAGAGATGAGAGTGTACGAAAGCGAAGGAGGAAATAGCTTTTGGTACGGAACAAGTATGAAAAATTTTCTGATAATGTGAGAAACAACAGAATGTAATTATACTGTATATAAAATCTGGTTGTTGCAAAGCCTCCTGGAAGCCATTTCCAGGTACACGAAGTGCAAAGATTTGACTGGGAACAGATAGCACAGATTTACCATGGCAAATTATGTCTTCCCATGATGAGATGATAAGATGAGATGATTTGACCATGATGAAATGACTGGCTCCATGAAGAGTAAGAAAAGCAGTGGATATCATTTACCTTTACTTCAACAAGGTTTACAGCATGGCCTCCTATGACATTCTTCTAGATAAGTTACTTACAAGGTCAGTAACTGAACTGGACTGGCATGCTGAAAGCTCGACAGATCAGAGTAACTGGTGTCTGTTTACTAGTGGCATTCCTCAGGAGTCGACACAGCAGCGACACTGTTTTGCATCTCTATTAACAATTTGGACAGGGGGACATAAGGCACCCTCCGTAAATTTGTGAAGGAGTAGTTCCCAAATTGGTGGGGAGTGGCTAGTATGCAGGGCTGCCGTTCTGAGCAACGTTAATAGGCTGACAGAATGAGCTGACAGAAACCTCATGAAGAGGCAGATTACAAATCCTGCCTCTGAGGCAGCACTGCCCAAGCAGCAGTACTGGCAGGACACTGCCTGTGTAGAAAGCAGTTTCACAGAGAAGGACCTAGGTTCCTGACAAGCAGAAAGTTAAATGTGGGTCAGCAGTGGGCCCTCTCAACAAATGTGGGCAATCAATACCCAGCTGTGTTAGCAAAAAAATAACCAAGGCATTGTGAAAAGTGATTATTCCCCTCAAATTGTCACTTGTGAAGTTACATCTGGAGTATTGTGTTCAGTTATCAGATCCCCAGGAAAAACACTAATAAACTGAGCAAGTCCAGTAGAAGGCACTTAGGGGGCTGAAGCATATGGTATGCAGGAGGGGCTGAGCCAGTTGGATTTGTTCAGCCCAGAGAAGAGAAGGCTAAAAGGAGATATAATTACTGTCTTCTACTAATAAGGAGGGGTCAATAGAAGAGACAGAATAAGACTCTTCTTGGGGATGCACAGTGAAAATCTGAAAGGTACCAGTCACAAGTTGTATCAAGGAAAATGCTGATTAGATATAAGAAAAAAATGTTTGACTACAAGAGTGGTCAAACAAAGTGACCTACTGCAAGAAAGGTTGTGGAAACTCCATCTCTGGAGATACTCAAAATATGGCCAGGGACAGGGCCTGAGCAGCCTGATTTAATTTCAGGGTTAGTCATGCTTTGAGCAGAACATTGGACTACATGGCCTCCAACAGTTCATCCCAACTTCAGTCATTCTGTGATTCTATAAATTATTATGTGTCATTTTAAGAAGCTTCTAGCTTTGAGATCTGTTAACTTTGCTTTGGCTGACCTGAAGGAAGAAGGATCTAGGTATAGTCCTTGCTACAGTATTGAATTCTGGCACAAGCTTGGGATGGGATGATTACCATTTGATTTGCAGAAAGACAGTGTTTGATCCTTTTGAATATTCAAAATGTTGTCTCCTGCAACTGGCTGCTTACTCAGAGTTGTTTAACATGAAGAGCCCATATCCCAAGAACCATAGAAGTTTTTAGTCCACTTACAGTATTGTCATTGACAAAAAAAAATCTTTTCTTGTCTGTTTTGCTGTTAGAGAGGCTACTATTTTTCCCAGCTGTATTACAGCTAATGACAACACCTAGATGTAAGGAGGCTTAAACAGGAGCTAGGTGGCTGCAGTTTTCTCATTGAGAGCTGTCATTCAAAATAGTCGTCACTAATTTCTTTGGGAATGCTTCATAGTTCCTGGGCTCCATGAAGGTGATTTAAAGAAGGCGCAAATAAGGGAGCGTGACAGTCTTGATGAAATAATACAGTTAATCTGACCTAGGGCAGAGCTAAATGACTTTTTTGAGAGGCTGGAAATCATCTTTGTAACACAAGCAACATTGTAACTTAAGCAACTGGTTCAAGTTAAAATAATCTAAACAAATAGATAAAATATTTACCCATGTGTTTTCAGATATCTCCAAGCACCATCAATACTTCCACCACTACACCCATGTTGATTTCTGGTATCACAAGAGATCAAATTCTGAGCGGAAAGGTTGTCTGTGATCTCACCCTTGGAATGAATTGCTATTCTATCTGCCGCAACACCTGTTTTGAAATAAATTTTCAAAAACCAATAATTACTCACAACTTCACACTGGTTATTGTGAAAGAGTGACTAAAATACAACCTCAGTATTTTCTGTTTGTGCAGATATCTTCACAAAGCAATACAGATAAAATCTACACAGACTTTCGAGAGAGAGGACTGTGAAACTGCAAAGCGTCATCAGCAACTTTAAATCCATAGAGCTATTGGTTATCATAAAGTCCCACATATCTAAACATCAGATGAGGCATTTACAAATGCATATTCATCTCTGTTTGACTTCAGCAGCTAATGCAAATACTCCCCAACCTCTCTGCAGCTGAATCTCCAAATCTCTTTTCTTTCTTTTCTACTTTCCCTGCCTTCATTTGCAAAAAAAGAAAAGCAAAAATGAAGAGTCCTATGAAGAAGAAAATTCAAGACTGAAAGTATGTATTGGTTTTACTTGCAATATTTGGAAATGCTCATATTAATGTGTAAATGTGGGATTTATGTCAGACCTCCTTCCCCTATCACATAAAATTCTTCTTCTGAGATACACAACTTAGAAGTCTGAACTCATTCAGATACTCCTAACTGTAAGTACTAAAATATTTATGAATCGATTTAAAGGCAGACTAGGTTAACTAAGTTGTAGGTGAAATTAAGCCACTTCTCCTTTCTTTAACGAGTGACAAAGAATTATTAAGCCCCAACTCCAGTCATTATCTGTGTTTAAACTATATTTTTATTATTGTTAGCCCTTCATTTTTGAACCTGAAAATAAACTTTAAAAATTCCTTGAAATCTGAAGTCCAATGAAAATCAACACTAACTTCCGTGAACTTTGGACAAGACTTCAGAAGAGTGAATGTGCTGATGGCAGCTGATAATGACTGTGGTTTGTGCTTTTGTGAGGTGTCATGTGATAATGAATTTATTTTCATAGGTATAAAAGCTTCTTTACTGGAGAGTTTTGGAATATTTATAGGAATTACTTGTGATAAGAAAAAATGACAGAGCAGTGCTTGTGTATTTATTAAGCAACAATTAATCTTACAAAGAAGGATTGAAAATGTTGGACATTCCTGTGTGTAAACAACACAGGAAGGCATATCATAATATATAGCATGGAAAATAATTATGCGAAATAAAATCAAAATACTCACTTATGAAAGGGAAAATTTAGACTGAATATCTGGAAAGTCTCTCAATGATCTCTGTAGTGATCTGTCAGGAGAGCTGTTAGAATTTCTCTTGGTTTTCTCTTTTAAAACTACACTGGACAAGACATATTGGTAACCTAGTGTGTTCAGTCTGGCTGGGATTAAATGACCTAAATGTTCCTTTGCTTCTCTCCCTGCTGCGATTTAAAGAAGCAGTTGCAGAAACCTGCACCCCTGAGGATGCACTGGCTGGATCAAGTCATAACGATTGATTACACATTTTTTTTCTCTATCTTTATATATCCCAATATGTACTGAGATTTATTGCAGCATAAGAAAAATGAACATAATCTATCACTGTAGCTTCTTTGGAGAAAGTGACACAAACACTTGTGCGCGTTCTTCATAAAACCAAAGGTTACAGCACACAAGGTTGAATTGCATTACTGACGTTTCTTTGCTTACAGAATTTGAAAATAGTTTATTCCACACAATATCTGAGCCATTTTGATGTTTCCTTCTTGTAAAATTATTGAAAAGATTATACTTCATTTACTTGAATAGCAAGTTGGACAATGGCAAATGCACAAATATATAAATGCATATAAAATATAAAGCCTACGTGTTTTAAGCTTTCAAGTCAAGCATGTAGTTGGGCAAGGGATACAGATTTTTTTAAAAGTTACACTACCAGTTATGATAAAATGCATTAGTCAATTCATTTTCTATTTTCTCTCACCAAAAAATCTCCCTATGTTACAAAAATGTATGAAAACCTCTACAGCTTAGATTGACTTTTTAAGGAACAACCTAGAGGGAAAGTAATTTTAAATGTTCCTGTTTGCTGATAAAAAGTGAACAGCAAGCTGAAATTCCTTCATTAGTAATCACTAGAAATTCTAAGCACACATCTAACATCAACGATGTTTTTAAAGTAGAAAAAATGAATATTACTTGCAGTTGAAAAAGCCCAGGATGCTCCACAATTTCGTTGATCCAGAGGATCGTGAATCCACTCAGGCCATGCATAACTGGCTGCAAAAAATGCAGGAAATTTTTCTTCTGGAAGGGAGTTTCCCTAAAACAAAATGTATGAGATCTGTATATGCTTCAATTCCTAATTTTGTCTTAAATTTTACCCTGATTTTGTTTATTAAATTCTAGATTTTTTAATTGAGGAAACCTAAAGTATCCGCTCCTGTGGCTTCCCAAGCATCCCTGTGGTGGCTACCCTGTGGCTGGGCATTGTGGACCCCCTGAGAGCAGAAGGGTTCTGGCACTCCACTAGCTGAGCTGGAAAGCTGAGCTCCACAATTGCCAACCAGAATAACCTGTCCAGGTTCTCTCTGATTTTTATCTCAAATAACAACTCCCTATGAAACATGTTAATTATGATCCAGCTGGTATTTTTGGAAAGAAAAGCCTTCTGTGACAAATAGCAGTGAAGTTAGGTACCTGTTACCCTGTTCTCAGAATCACAGAATCACAGAATGGTAGAGGTTGGAAGAGACCTCTGTGAGTCATCTAGTCCAACCCTGCTGCTGAAGCAGGGTCACCTACAGTAGGCTGCACAGGACCTTGTCCAGGCGGGTCTTGAATATCTGCAGAGAAGGAGACTCCACCACCTCCCTGGGCAGCCTGTTCCAGTGCTCCGTCACCCTCAGAGGGAAGAAGTTCTTCCTCATGTTCAGACGGAACTTCCTGTGCTTCAGTTTGAGCCCGTTGCCCCTTGTCCTGTCGCTGGGCACTACTGAAAAGAGCTTGGCCCCATCCTCCTGACACCCACCCTGCAGATATTTGTAAGTATATATTAGGTCCCCTCGCAGCCTTCTCTTCTTCAGGCTGTACAAGCCCAGCTCCCTCAGCCTCCCCTCGTAGGAGAGATGTTCCAGTCCCCTCACCATCCTTGTAGCCCTTGTCTCCTTGACACGTGACTGTAGGTAGGAAATTTTAGTGACTACGGGGGAGGGATCAGTACGGTGTATCATTGATTTGTCTTTCACACAGAGGTTTTTCAGTCTCCAGTACTTATTCTTGTTCCAGAATGAAAACTAATGATTGTCCTTCTGCTTTACAGCCTGAAGTTAGGTTGATGAGAATTCATGGTCTGCTCACTAAAGCTGTTTGTACAGCCATTTTTGGAATCTTTATCTCTCAGCCTTAATTTACATCCTCCAAGCTTTGCACAGATATCTGCATATGCAAGAACCATCTGGTACAACTGCTAATAATCTGCTCTGTGTTCAACATTTCGAAACCATTGACCCATTTGTTTTTTAGTGTTGAACTTTATGGAATGATTGTTTACGCTGTGCAGGGAAATAGGAAAGGCAACAGAGAATTGCAATATTAGTCCACCCAGTCTATCAGTTTGTTTCAAACAATTATTGATAACATCTGCTCCGGAGGAAAATACAGAATACAAAATGTGATAATCTGTTCCTAAACAAAACATTCCCTGATGCTTCTTTCTTGTAAGTAGGTTCATAACCTGAAACACAATGGCTTCTATCCTGTTTAAATTCTTTTATTTTACTCCATTTTACTTAGTCTTTTACTTCTGGGTGTTGTTGTTGCACCATTTTTCTAAATTGCTTAAGTGACTCTTAAGTCTACACAAGAAGAAGCGGGTAAGGAAAAAAGAGGTTTGTACTTCAGGTCTGTATCTGACGTTAAACTGGGATACAGTCCCAACAGACAGATTGATACAGTCTGTGCACGTCCCCAGACCCAGTAACTCTCAAGTGCTTCTAGGTTCGCTGCATCAGATACAGAGTGTGAGTCCTAAATATTATTAAAGCATACTGCAAGCTGTTAGTTCATTTAAGTACTTTTGAAAGTTTTACTTTCACCTATAACAAGCCAGTAATCTTTTAAATCTTGCTAAAATATTAATCTCAGTAGTTTGATTAATCATTGCTTTTTCAAAAGCTTGCTAGATACATGGGTCTTGCAAACTCAAATGGCATAAAGAAAACGACAGGTAATTTAAACAATATCTTGTTAAATTATCATTATGTTCATCGTTAATAAGCAAGCACAAGCACAAGATTTACTGTGAAGATGAATCATACAGGTGAAATCCCAGACAAATGGCATTTCTTTTCCACGATAAGACTGTTCGCTATCAACCAGTAAACAAGTAAATTTTGGCAAAGATACTTTAACACACTTACATAGGCAATAACTGTTTACAATGCTACAAATGAGGCAGTTGAGGAAAGCAAAATTCTGAACAGATATTTGGTCTTTGACAGTGTTACTGTACGTATTCCCAAACTACTGCAAATGTATTTAATAGCCTCATATAGTAAATGCCAGAGCAAATCCCTTATCAGCCCTCAGCCTTGTCATTTAGAAGTGCAGGACTGACCTGTAGCCTGCAGGACTGAGAAGTACCGCTGTTCTGTGACAAGTAGTAAGTTTCTCAATGCGTGCTCCATGGACCAGTATCAGACAGCACAATGTAATCAGCAAAATGACTGTCAAACTATTTTTAAACCTTCGTATGTATTCTCTGCAGTGAAGCTAGCAGTCTGGCCTAAGCCGGAAGGCAAATGGATGTAAAGGAACACTCATACTTCGGATACGACTTCTTCAGATGGCACAGCAGAGAAAAAAGGCTGAAGATTACCGAATTAGCAAATGTGGAAACAGTTTTGCTGAGGGAAAACAATATTTTTTTTTAATGTAGGAAAAAGTTTCTGAATATCACTTGCTTTATGAAGAGAAAATGGGTATGCATGACCTTCAGTTTGCACAAGTGAGATCTACAACTGCTGAGATTTTTTCTATGAAAAGCTATATATCAAAACAAAAACAGGTGTACTTTCTATATCTTTGCATTGCCTTTATGAGTTCTTTGACACTTAATCCAAAATGGTGCCTTATTACGAAACTATGTATTTCATTTTCTTGTAAGATGGCACTTAGGCAAGCACCAGGCAAGCACCTTGTTGCTGGCAGATGCAGACGCCACCATTGCAATGCACGTCTTGCCAGGACAGGTACCGACAGAATACGACCAAATGTCTCTCACAACGTGTTTTGAAGGCATGATGGGGTTTTTTGCACTACATAGAACTTCATGAATGATCATATTATCTCCTGCAGTGAGTAAACACTTTCAGAATGCTTTCTCAGATAATACACACGACACTATTGGGAGCGTCAGCTTTGTCAGGAGTCACAACAGTGTTTGTGGTGTATCTAGCTGTCAGTCTATGTTCAGGTCTAGCCATTCTCTGCAGCAGAGGGTCCTCATTTCACGTTCAGTTCTTGCTCCACATCATTGTCTTTTAGGTATTCTAATGTGCCATCACGTCAGACTACCCTTCCAGACATAAACAGAATCACAGAATCACAGAATGGTAGGGGTTGGAAGAGACCTCTGTGGGTCATCTAGTCCAACCCTTCTGCCGAAGCAGGGTCAAAACATCACCTTACTGAGCAGATATAGTCTTTTATCAATAGCAGAGCTTTTAAAAGCTCTATGGGCAACTTCAAGAAGTTTGTTTTCCCTAAGACGAAACGTAGCTCTGTCACACCATTTAATTTGAAGTAATGTTATGATGCTACACTTGTAGTTGGATATGTCAGTCAAAGAAACAACTAAAAAGTCTCTACTCCACAACCAAATTTTCACCACTGCTAAGAACTAAGACTTTGCCATAAATGTAAACTGGTTAACACAGAAGGGCTTTACATTTCTGAATATTTTTTCCATTCAATTAAGAAAGGAGACCCTTCGACACAAAAAAATTTTTCTCAAGCATCCCCAAAAGACAGCAGAAAATAATCAGAACAGCAGGCCCTTAGATACCAGAAACTGTCATTTATTCCCTAAATAGTAGACCAGTAGCATGCTGAGTAATTAATTTTTATTTAAATAAAAAAAAAGTTGTATTTAATTAATTGGTAGCTATGATTTACTTTCTACTTTAGCAAAACTACCAGGTTTTATTCAGGTCAGCACAAGACAGACCCCAAAACTCCTGAACACTAACTGTAGCATTTTTATCAACTAAATGTATGACTTTGGGCAAAAGACTTGCAGTTTTCTCACTTTCAAAATGGGAAATGTAGTAATAATCCCAGAGAATGCATGAATATTTTAGTGCCAATTTATCCACAGTAAGTAACTGGTACCTTGTCCTGCAAGTGAATCAGTACTCAACAAAGTCATACAAAGGTCAAACCATGAAGGCTGGAGAATGCCTCTGAAAAATATTAAGAAGTCATTGTTTCTAAATTTCGTCATTCATTTCTTTTTACCCTCTTCTGAACTGCCACCTAATTACAGGTGAAGATTAATGGAAACACTGTCATGAAAACTCACTTCTTTTTATCACTTAGGAGTTTGTAAAGGTGTTAGCATGCTTCACAGAATATCAGTGACAGAAAATTATTCATGGAAGGTGAAGTTGGGGCAAGTGTCTCTGAAAATCTGGTAAGATACTTAAAAAGTGCCTGAAAGTGAACTCCATGGCTACTGTTTTTTTGCCAACAGGAATAATCTGTCAACATACCCCTGGTGACCGTAATCCACGCTATGAAATTGCTAGATCATGCAGTGACCGTAAATATGGAGCTGGCTATAAGAGGAGAAAAACATTATTGATTTTTTTAATGTTTTTGCAAAGTATTAAAATGTGGCAGATGACAGGAAATTTCCCAAGGCATAACAAGAACACGAAACAGATAATGTTCTTCTAGAAACCTCTAGAACAGGACAGAATCAGGGATATTTGGAGCTTCACAGGAAGCTTCAGAGAAAAATATTTTTACATCAAGGTTAGCTAAGAGAGAACTCACTGGGGTAAGATCAAGAAAGTTCCATGAAGTCTGAAGAGAAGCCATGGGTAGGAGACGGGCTCATGTACAATTCAGAGCAATTTTCTGCAAGCTCAATGAATTTTCCAGAAGCTGAGAAAATTATACAGAAGTCATTATTTATATTTTTCACTTTTGTAAGTAGAGAGAAAGATTTCTTAGAATCCTGTGCAAGGCTTGTGCTTCTAGCAACATGTAGGACTTCCTGAGGGCTAAATGCATGAATGTGCAAAGCTGGATTACTGGAGAAGAGTGCATTGAATCTTCCCAGGTGTCTGGTAGGACCAAAGGTAGTTGAGTTGTGGCTCTCAGATTTTGTAAAAAGATAGCAGATAGCTAGAGAAAATATACCTGAGAAATGTATCAGTGGAAGAAAGGCCATATGAAGTGTAGCAGTCAGAGAAACTGCAGGAAGCTTAATAATGATGATTCAATAGGCTGGACACAATGCAGGACCACTGACTGATCGGCTACCCCAAATTAAATGGAAAAGAGGATATATCGTGAACAATTTCTTGTAACCTTCCCTTTCTTGTTTTCGTAGGTCGGATTTGTCTCAGATAGTTAGATATCTAGTAATGTAGATGTCAATCTCTGAGATAGGTACATGACACCCACTTTTTGTTTCAGCTACATATGCGTCACACTGTATTCCTCAAGGAAAATGCCAGCAACAGCAACAACAAATCAACTCCAGCTTTCTTGAGCCTCAATGCTGTTCACTGGTAATTAGTGGCAGATAAGTACTAAATATTGCAGTAAACTCTTTTATGTCATTTTTATTTTGACTTGCCATCTTCAGCTGAAATGGATCTTTCTTTGGCTGTGAAGAGTAATGTAGTAAATCATACAAGGCAACACTCCAAGGCTTAATTTCCGTCAACTTCTTGCTCTGACAACCCTCTATAGTGTAATTTTGAGCAAGCTGGCCAGTCTGGGCCACAAAACAATGCTTTACCACACCGGTGCAGGAGGTTGACTTTGTGTGGAACCATACATACCAGTTTGTATCAAGAAAAAGGTTAGGATTGTTAAAATTACTGCAGAGGCACATGGCCCTCTCCCTTTTTCCCAAATTCCCTGTCAAGCGGCAGCTCTGCACTGCTGATCCCACAGGGCCGTCCATGATGTGGAAACCTTTCTGACATACACATATACAACAAGCATCAACAGTTGACCTCAAACAGATAATCAGATTACATAATTTGCCTGGAATATATGGAAGACAAAGATAAAAAATGGTTATACTTAGTGTCATTTGCAAACCTTGGATCTATGTCCTTATTCTTGCAATTTTTCTAACCTCACTATGGTTAGGCAGTTTGCATTTTCAGTCTCTGATTTCCATAATTTTGGGTCTTCTAAGAAAGAGGCGAAGTAACTGATCCCAAGCATTGGAAAATCTCCTCTGGATCCAATAACTACGCATTTCTCCTTTAATTGCTTAACCTACCTACATAACTTTAAGTATACTTCATTTGCTGCAGAACTAATTTGAACATAAATATATGATGGGAAATTTAATATAGCTGCCATGAAAATGGCCGTGGCCAAGAGGTTTAGAAAGCTGGTAGTAGAGAATCATCTCGTTTTCCCATGCTTCCTATCATTTTTCTTTCCATTTGGCCAGAACTCTAGCCTCCTGCTGTGACTTCACATTGCTTTATCTTACAGGCTTTCAGAACTTCTTTCAAAGATTGCTATAGCTGTTATCCTTAATGAACTATTCCCAGATGATTTTTTATTTATGGTTACAGCTATGTGTGCAATGATTAACAAACGGAGAGGATAGTATGGAACTTCCTAAAGGAGCAAAGATTTCAAACACCAGTGATCTACAATGATAAGTCAGTACTGGTGCAGAGCTTCCCAGCATTTGCTTTTGAGCCTCCTTGCTTGATTTCCATCGATAGGACTACACACTGTATGGCTAGGAGAACTATTCTGGAAGCTTTACACTCAACATGTAAACATTTAGTGTTAAATCCCTGAATTGTAGTCTTATAATTGTCTACATTTATTTTTTAATGTGATAAAGTTCTTAAAAAATTTAACAGCTGTACATGACACTTACTGGAGCTTCTCTCATATTCAGCAAGGAATGCGATGGAGGGAAGGTGCCCAGGCGCTTTTTGAAACCTTCTTCCACTGTCATTCCCCAGAACTGACTGTAGTTGTCAGCTTTCCATCTTCCTCACAGACAAAAAATAAGCAGACAAAACCCAGGTTAGAGATACCACTCACATTAATACTTTGCTCCTTTGTAAGACCACCGCTAACAGTAGTATCCAGAAATAAATGTTTCGAATTATATTTCAAAACCTTGTATTCGATATGCAGGAGAAAATGTTTAGTATGGGCTCTGCCACTGCAAAAGAGTATAGGATGGAGCAACACAGTAGCATATAAGAAGTGGTGGTGTGAGGTCAGCATCATGTCAGCCAGCAGGAGCTGAGCATGCAGTGCTTCAGAGAAGTGCTGGAAAACAAGGTGCTCAGTCATAACAATTACTGTTGTCTTGAAGTTATGCTTAAATTATGCTTCAGACCAGACGCCCACAGAGAACTAACAGCTTCATGTAGTGAGCTACATTGCCTCCAAGCTCTGGTGCACCACCAGTGAGAGACTGTTGAATCCAGCAGAAAGCCCAGCTGACACCTTCCTGAGTTTTACACCAATAGCCAGGTTGAGAGAAAGGGTTCCCTGTGGCTCTTTTGCAGCCATACACATTTGGAACACACTAAAACTTATTATTACTGGAAAAGAGCTGAGCCACAGGGGAGACCATTCTCTTTACCTGTTTCTTTCTTGCTTGTGTGTGAGGAGCAAGGGGATGGGATTCATGCTGCCCAAACAGAAACCTCATTGCTCTTGGTCTGCCGGTAGTCAGTGAAGAGTGCAAGCACCTGCAGAAGTTGAGTCATATCTCAGGTGGGCTTAACGACCCTGTGGCAAACCTTACCTCTTACCACTGACAAGGGGAAGGTGAAGGGCTCCAGGTGCCTAACTTAATTGGCTATCCTAACTCTGTTGGTTTGAATGTCTCCCATGAAGTACAAAACGTTTCAGCACTGCATCACAGCTGTAAGTCTGGGCAGGATTCATTGGTGATTTTATCACCTCAGCTCCTAGGGAGGCAATCGCTGTATCTCTCTGTAAACGGCCAGCAGGCTCCCAAGGCACAGCTCCTGTACTGGGGTGTCCCTAATCCCTCTGCACTACCTGAGGGAAAAGGGAACAGGTAGCAAGAAAAACACTGAGCCCCACAAAGTTCTGATGTCTTTGTCCCCATTTGGCCCATCCTCTCCTCTTCCTGTGCTACCTAGAGTCCTGTCATGTAGAATAGTCTTGATGAAGGAGAAAAAATGACTGTAAATATCTATCCCAAGTAATAAATGAAGAATAAGAGAAGATGATATAAATAGCGTTTTGTGAGCAAAAATATTGTGCTAAATTTGGAGAATATTTTAGATAGATCTTTACAGTGTCTTACCAACATGAGAATTTCAGTATATTTCCATTTAAAACTCTGTAATTTGCCAGAGATTTAGGAGAGTTTCACAGATGTACTTTTACTGTCATATTGCTTTAATGTAACTTGGGAAGGAAGAGGTGGGGAGGACTGCATAACTTGTAACTTGCACATACACACAATGAGCAATACAGTGATTTATAACAAAACCTTAAAATAAAAGTGTTCTCACCCATAATCTCCAGAATTGATGCGCTGAATTAAGTCTTGGCGAACAAGGCATACTTCTTTTGAACACTTCCAGAGATTTTGGAAGCATTTGCTGAAAGGGCAAGAATATCATTGAGTGGAAAATGAATTTTCAGAGGAAAAATATGCACTTTAAAAGTGGAAGGAAGATGGAGGAAAAAAAAGGGTAAACAATATAAATGTCACATAACATTCATGAAAACATAATATTACTTCTCGCTACTTCACAACCTAATGAATCCCAATTAGAAAAAGGTGGGGAGGTTTACAGTTTGTGCAAAAGACAGTATTTGAAAAATTTCACTTCCATCTTTGTTAGACCAAACCAGGGAAATAAAGCAATGTCCTGTAAATGAATTTTTTCGAGGAAGTTTCACCCTGGAAATCCAGAAAGGAGACATACGGCTGTAGACACCTTGGTCCAAAGACCCTGGGCTAATGTCAGGGCAGTGGGGGCCCCAGCCCTGTTTGGGTGCTGCTGAAGCCTCCCAGGCTCCCCTGGGGCTGGAGGTGCAGGGCTGGTTTTTGGAGAGACAAAGAAGGGAGGCGGCTTAAGCAGCCGACTGCTGGGGCCGGCAAAAGAGCTCCCCTGTCTGCACTGTCTGCTCCTGTCCCTAAGGCAAAGAAGGGGATGCCCAGACACTTCATCCATTTCCTACGTAAATATACTTATATATCCTTCCCTTATGAAATAATGTGAGGTCTCATCACTCAAGCCAAAGAAACAGAAGAAGATGTTCTAAAATAATCTCCTAAACTTTAATGATAATTGTTTCATCTGCATTCAGGTTAATGCCCAGGTCTAGGCTCAAACCATTTCAACTATGGTCAGAGCCAGCAGACTGACTGAGCAGGAGCCAAATTAGGCCAGTGAGGAGGAGATTTTAATACTCTCATTTTCATATCTCCATTAGAAAGCCCCTTGACCTCTTGTCATTCTAAGCTGGCTGTAATCTAGCTCACAATACCTTAATACAGCCCTACTCTTCCAGCCATTTTGATTTGGTTACATCTTTAATATGAATTTAAGGATGCTCACTACCTTAATTCCTGTTTCATGACATATGTTAAACAAAATTCGATTTGCTGGTCTCTGAAACGTTACCAGGAATTGCAGTTGTCTTTAATTATTGTTCCTTCTCCATAATATCGGCCATCTTTATAACAACCTGCCAATATAACATATAGATGTGTGAGAAAACATCATTTTTTAAGAGAATTAACTCAAATTTCTTGCTACTGTTTAATTACTTGGTTGTATGCAGTATGCATAAAGTGTTTAGTTGAAAGTCGGCAACATGTATTTCCAGTTTCTTCCAAGTAATGAAGGCAGTTTGATGTATTTCAATTTTTTACCAGGTACATTATCATTCTTCGTAAATAAAATCAGCAACGGATTCAAAACCCCCACTGAATAATTATTATCTTACATGTAAATAAGAATCATTCTTCAAATGAAGCTATTTTCTAGTAATAAACTTTAAAAGAATACATTTCCAATAAAATTCATTTCCTAAATGGCAATTAAAATAGAAATTCGTTTTTCCAGTTATATAATTTAAAAAACTAATAACTATTCCAAACCTATTGTAACATATTATTTTTCCTCACCAGTTTAATTCCTCTTTGAAAAACAGACTGATCAATTATGTTTCAAGCCAAAAGAATGCTTCATATACATTCCAAAAACCAGTATAAAACCTACATTGAGTGATGATTTTTCCAAAGAAATGCATGCCTCCTAATTTTTTTCTTTGGTAACACTTCAATGAGAAAACACTTTGTGTGTGTTTTAGGACCTTCCATATAAACTCTTTCTTCAGTGCAGTTGATTGCAAAGCTTCAGTAAAAGAAAGACCCAGAATGTCTGTGCAGGGCTTCGGATCGAGTCTATAACAAACATGGTACATTTATTGCACGGGTCTCTGTTTTCCAGCCTGTTCTCACGGTTCTTCCACCGATGAGTGTACACGTGTTCCTTCCTCCACTGGAAGGGCTTGGAGCCAGAACCTCCAAGTTCTCTCCTCCATTTTCAAGAAGCTTAAACCGTATTTCATGTTAATATAGTGTTGACTTGCATTTGAACTATATCATGCTTTTTTCCCCACCACGAGTGAGAAGAAGGCCATTCCCCTTTCATGGCTCTGGAGCTTGTCTGCCCAGACATACACATGCGTGTCTTAGCTGCCTATATCGCCAGGAGAGAAATATGCCCTTCTAAGCCATAGCTAATCTCATACTGAAGTGCAGCAGCAGACCAAAATTGATGAATTAATTATAAGTGCTTATCGTTCTCTGCTAGTCGTACAGCAAGGATGTTAGCTAGCGCAGACGCAGGTGACGTATATCCCACCTAAGCAGTCTGAGGCCCAATGTGTCTGCTCTAATTCAGCTTCTGCTAAGATTCCAGACATTTTTCAGAGAATACCCAAAGCAAATTACTTTAGCATCACAGTTTGTCACAGTCTGCCACAAAGCCAGCATCAGGCAGTCGCTGAAAGGAGGCATCAAGAAAGATATTTCAAATACATGGAGGGAAGGAAGTGTGGATGCCACATCTGAGTGACAGGATGGAGCCTTGCTGGAGCTCTGCCAGCTGGCCTCGGCGCCCGGGCCCGAGAAGAAATGCAGACCTGGGCAAGTACATAAGAAGCTTTCTAATAATGTACACCTAGGGAACTGGAGATTAAAACCATACAGTTTCTTTAGTCTAGCCAGATTAAGATTTAGGGGGTAAGGAGCACTGCCAGAGGCATCAGTGGCGGAGAGCAGAGATATCTAAGCTGAAAAACACTGTTTGCATGAGAACACACAGAGATTCTCTAGCCGCAAATATATTAGCTTAGAATATTAATATATTAAGTGGGAAATTAATTAATTTGAAGATACAGCCTGATAACTTTATGAATGGGATTATATGATGAGAAAATCATGATTGGAAGGAAGAGTATTTGATAAATGAGGACTTCCCTGCCAGTCCAGCATTCCTATACCCTTACAGCTCTCACTTCATTCGCCCCCAGCAGTGGTGTAAGTACTTGTCAGTGACATGTCTCCAGGTTTACTCGCTTGTAGGCCAGACCCTGACTGCGTAGTGTAAAGGCAGTTAGCAAACTCTCTGGACATCACTTCTGTACTACCACCAGGGTGAGATCCAGTGTGTTGACTCTGACAGGGCTTTTTGCACCATCAGAGCAATTGAAACAAAAAGCTAAAGTAAATAATAAATATAGTCAACAAATCAAGTCCTAACAGTTCTTGTAATAACAAAAGTTGAAATAGTAATAATAATAAAATCCAGAACTTCTATTTGGTGTCTAAGACCAGACATTCCTATGTGCACAGTTTCTTCTGAAACTACACAGGAAAACCATTGAAACTTACTGAAAGCTGGGTTCATAAAGGCAGAGTCAAAGCAGTTCCACGTAAGCTGAATCAAGACTGGCCCTCAGCATGGTGCACACCCATGGAAGAAGACACAGCGTGGCTTACTGCTGCTGTGCACCAAGTTGTTGAATAGACAGAGATCCAGAAATAAAGCACTGAGTAGTTTTATTGCTGCTTATTCCGGCCCATGTAAAGCACTTCAGTTTATTTAAAGAAATCTGACTCAGGAAGCACTGCGAGAAAAACCACAGGCAACAAACAGATCAAAATCTTCCAGATGAAATGTACTTCAGCGTATGCGGTCTTCTAGTGCTTAAATAATTCTTAGCCAAAGGCTGTAGTCTCAGTTACTAAAAGCCAGCTAATATACTTATGTGATTTCTAAAAATGCTTCATAGTTTGCTTAATCTTCAGGAATTTGGTCCTTTTTGTTTCTCTGTTTTTTTCCTTCCACTTAGATCCTCTCTTCCCTGTTCCTCAGAATTTCCAGTTCTAGAAAGTTCCTTTAGAGTTATATTTTTTCCTGCTGTATTTTGGCTGCTTTATTATTCTCCTTTTACCTTTGAAATTACTCATATAACAAATATCCAATAAAAAGATTTTTTAAAAGCATTAGGAAAGCACCTTAAGGATCAGAAACACAAGATCTTTTTTTTGAGATGAGATATAAAGATGCAGGCTCACCTACAGGACAAATAAAGGTGTATGAATACAGTAAATATAATTGCTATCTCTGGTAGGTATGTACAGTCCAGGAGTTACAAAACAGTGACCACACATGCAAAAAGTTGGATTAAGAAAGGCAGTAAAAATATTACCCCTTACCTATTCCCTTATCTAAACCTTCTGTTACACTTTTACCTTACATAGGTAGACCTACGGCAAGGCCCACATGGCAAACTGCTGCAGGTTTTGTAGTGATTCATTTCCATGAAACCATCTGGCAAGCTAGACCCCACAGGCTGCCAGGTCTGGAGCAGAAACGCTGCTAAATGTTTGTGTAGAGTTTACGACAACAGCCCCCTGATCTGTCGGAAATAATATACACCACTGCACCAACAAAATACAAAACAAATGTCTTTATTTACATAAATCACAGAACATTCTTTTAGATGATTAGAAACACTTTGAAAAATCAAATTTGTTTCACAGCATTTCTGTCACTCCCACTTATCAGATTTTGGCTGCATGCCTGGCTAAAGAGCACAGCCTGCTGCAGAGCTTGCGATCTGAGTGCTGGAATGCAAGCATAGGGCTATTGCAAAGAAATGGTTAATTTTAAAAAGTCACGGTAGTATCTTTGTTGATTTTAGGCTTTTGAAATTTTGCTGTAGTGTCCACATTTTCATTCAGATTTGGTCTACCAGCACTAAGAAGCTACATAGTCCTAAAATCCACAATTCTAAACTTTTCTCACCAGCAGAGATTTGCCCTCTGCAGGAACTAAGGGACCAGCTGTTTGTAGACAATTTTTTTGCCATCCGTAGTTCTAAAAAAAATAGACTTAGTTTGGAGTAGTCCTGGAAGTATTTCTACCACAAACTAACTAGTAAGAAACTAAAATATGCCAGAAATCCTTGTTCTAAGCACATCCCTTTGCCTACTCCTGCACCTGAGCTGTCGCACGAAAAATAGTGTCCCAGAGGAAAGCTATGCTGGATCAAAACTGTTGCAGAACACCTCAGAGCAGTATCATTCAGAATAACCCTCACTTTTCTTGATGATTTATTTGTACTGATGGATACAGAAATTCAGAGCTTGTTGTTCATTTCACATTAATCTGTGAAGCTCTATTGAAATTGTTGAGATAGCACTAATTTTGACCCATTAAGTTACCTCTGAGAGCTCCAGATAAAACAGAGGTTCTGTCCAACAGAAAGATGATCTAACCAACACTAAAAATATGTCCCTAGAGACAAAGAAATAACAGCCAGCATAATTCTTACTCCAGTTTCAATCTCAGTTTCTTTGTCCACTATGTCTTTAGTTACTTTTATAGGATCTATACACTCTAAAGGTTAATCAGTACTTTTACTTCCAAGTATATTTTCAGTGTGGTTCTCTAATGCCAGCTCAGCATTTTCTCTATACCTACCTGATGCTGGAGGTGGCCAAGGCTCATCTGACCTGGTGGGCTCAACGGGGTAGTCGCAGACATCCCAGTAGTCAGCACAACAGTCCACAGGGCCAGGAGAACCTGAGGCACAGAACTGGTCACAGTAACAGATAGCTGCTTTGGAGACGATGTTAAAGCTGCAGTCATCATCTCTTCCTGTGCAACAGCCTCGTACCCTGCAGGACCTTCCCTGATACAGACTCCTTTTTAGCCTGTTCCACTTTGCAGAACCGCTGTCTCCAGCAGAGTCAAGTCCTTGGGGGAAATTTCTTCTAGATTCAAGCTGCTTTGCCATCAAAACTTCACTTGCAATGCAATAGAAGAGCAATACCTGACTTTTGATACACATTCTTCCACCTCTAACAGCCCTTTTTGAGGCTCTCTGTACTTCACTTTACCAATAAATGTCTAGGTACTGTAAAGGTAATACCTACAGTTAGTACTCAGAAAGAAATCTGAACAGAAGGCTACAGATTATGGTTTTCTAGGAGGACTCTCTATATGTTAATTATTAGTCAGACATGTGGTAAACAGATTTATTTGCCCAAGATACAGAGATACTGGAAACAGCTGCAGCGATGTATTCATCATTATGAAATGCTGGGCGTACTCCTTTGCAGGTGAGAAATTTTATAGTAAAGGTTTCAGAATATACAGAATATACATGGTCCAATATTTTACTGTTATACTTTTAACTTCTAAAACTGAAAAAATATAAGGAATGAGTACATGTTGTCAAAGGAAGCTCTCTTTCTTCTGGGCCTCATTTACCTGTAACTAATATGTTCTCCAAATGACTGGATACATTATAACACTTCGATTGCTTTTCATCTGCATTCTCCTTTCTGATATGCAGAGCTATACCACTGCAGTAAACTTATCCTGCATCCCCCTTTTCAATCTTCTTTCTAGTGATCTAGCTTAGCTTCATATGCTTCACTTTGCACTGCTTTACTGTGGGCAAATTCAGAAAATAGTATAAACTATTACACAAAGATATTCTCTTAGGATTTGCATTTCTTTAGTCAAAATGAACTTGGAAATCATTGTAAATAGCGTAATAAATACCCACTGATGAGTGCTCATTCCTATTTGAAAAGGAAATGGCTGTATTAATAAAACCACAAAGAAAATCAGAGCAGATATGAAAAAAGAAGTCTAAAAGCCTTTACTACTTGATCTATGATCTCCAGGTTTTTGAACAGCAGACCTAAAGAAGTATGCATGGTATTGTTGCCAAAACTTAAAATATTCAGAAGAAAGCAGCAAAGAACTTTGAAATTCCTAACAGAGATCGCATGTATGGCTAAATTGCGAAAAATACCAGTTTCAAATCCGAACTGTTATAAGACAATTTAAGCCTCCAAGGCTGAACAAGCAGAAAAAAACATTCATCCTTCTGTCTCCATTTTGTAGTCAATGAGAGGAACCTGGAGAAGTTGGTGGCAGACTGTTTTCGAGGGAATGAAGGGGACCTTTCCCTCTGTGACTTCAGCTCGGCTGTTCAGCGCTGCAGGAAGCCTTAGCATCAAAGGGCAGCTACTTTTGAAAGCACAGCTGGCAGCACAGCTGGTTTAGATGGTCTGCCATGAGTGGCAGAGACATTAAGAGGGACTGTGTGTATATGCATGTGTGTGTGTTCATACATATGGGCTTGTAATCCAAATGGTCAAGTCTTTAATACAATTTCTAGCCAACAGTGCTTTTATTACACCTGCCTCCCACACTGTCCCCACCACAGCTAAAGAACTGCAGATGAGGGAAAATTGCATCCAACAATATGATTTTTATTTTGCTCTGTTGCAAGCAATCTTCTGTGTGGAAGTTAATAGAAAGGTCAAGGTCAGCAACATGAAATCACTGTACATCACATAATAGGACATAAATCTTAGCCTTCAAATTTGCTCTGTGGTTTTTTTATTAAGTTTTGCTTATGAGACAAAAATCTGGGCAACGTTAAGTCTGTTACTGACTGCTATAAAGCATCAAATATAACGTGAGAAAAATGAGAAAAGACATGTTCATGGAAACTCATGTGAAGTGCTCCTTAGAAATGATAATCCATTTCTTTTCCTTATGTCTATGCAGCTCCATCAGTTCCTAGAGAATGACTCATGATTTACACTGACATTAGCAAAATGCAAACCTTCTTTGTTATTACAAATGTTTGGAAATATTCTCACAAAGTTATCTCCTTGCTCTGGAAGCATAAGAAAGAAAAATATGTACCTTATATGACAAATATTATCAGCCAGTCAGATTAAGCGAACAGGCATATCTGTTTTTCTAAGTTACAGACCTCTGGTTCCATTTGGGTTTGTCTGGTGTTTTGTTTTGTTTGGTTTGGTTGGTTTTTTTAATTTTAAACTTTAAAGACTTGTTGATGGTAAACCAGAGGCAAGGGATTTGCAAATTACGTGAGCTAGTTGACAGAGGAATGAGATTTCCTTTAAAGGAACATGAAAATGTAACTTGCGCTTCTAAACAGCTTTGTTTTGTGACACAAGAAACTGTGCTGAAACTTGATAAAATCTATTTTTCCCAGTTGTTGGCATGTTTTCAAACCTTTTAAAAAAACCCATGAATCTATTTTATTGTGGTTCAGCAAATGCTTTTATCTCAGTAGTTTCCTTTGTAAGAAAAAATAACTCTCTGTTCACAGCACACAGTGACTTAGCTGTAACTATTTAGAAACAGTTAAACATCATCCTTTTTCTCTGTTGAAGAATAATCTATTCCAAGCACGACAGCTCTGCTAAGCTTTTGAGTTAGGGTTCTAGCCCTAGTTCTAGTCTGCACAATTAAGTACAAAAATGTCTGACTTGTACTTGTTTCAGCACTGCTTGGTTTCTATCCTTGAGCTTCAAAACAGACCACACATTTGACAGGAATTCAAATACTAATATCACTGAACTCTTGGTGGAGTAACAAATAAAACACAGTTCAGAATGTCCAAGAGTTTCTTTAAAGCTGGAGCAGGATTATTCCACAACCTTTCTTTCAAAAGTCTCCATAATTTATCTGAAAGAGTCTATTGGGCATCATAAAAATCTCATTTCTAATTACCTTCACAGTACAGGCGACAGCAGTGCCCAGCGAGGTGCTGAAGGTCACTCCCAGGAAGGACGGCAGAGCCTACCTGTTGCAAATGAGTGGTTAGGTCGCTTCAAGAATCACTGTCAAAGGTATTTGCAAGAAGTGATTTTAATAAGAATTTATAAAAAGTGATTTAACAAAGTTCAATGGCAAGGTTCATTCTATTACTTATTAAATGAATGGAATATAAAATCAAGGTAGCACTAAGATAGCATAAATTATAGAGATCAAAGAAAGCGGTAAGAGATAAGGGAGACCCTCCTGTTGAGTCACAAGGTTCAGAATGGACTCCCTTGTTTTCTAAACTCCTTCTCAGGATCCAGACTTAGCCTCAGACCACAACAGTTTATGTCTAAAGGATATGTCTAGTAGCAATTTAAGGTTTGTTCACAGCTAAAGAGAGAATCACAGGAATTTAGCAGCAATTAATTATCCATTAATTTAGAATTTATGACGTGATTAAAAAGGATTTACTATGACCACAGTAGCAGGCTCTGAATCAATTCACATGCACACAGAGATAATATGCATACATAAAGGTATCTGTCAAAAATTCCTCTCGAGTTAAGTGAAATACTCACCTCCAATGATTTTCTCAACTGGCAAAGGTTGAACCTCAAGGAGTAAGGGATCCCTATATCTCAGCCCAGGTTCCATCTGTGATGGGAACTTGAAAGTTAAAAGTTTGAGGGCTCTGAGAGGCATCCCACTCAGAGGGAGATGCTGGTCGCAGCCCGCTGTGGTCCAGGAGATCTCAAAGGGCCTCACTTAGTACGGCTGTTTGCAGGGTCGCGAGATGATTGACTTCAGGCATCAGTAAATTTCCATCCTGGCCACAACTGGTATGAGGTAATTCTGGTATCTTAACAGCAACCATACAATTCCAGTACTTCCCAGAATGTATAGTTCTGATATTTTACCAGGCAGGTATGATCTCAGCAGCAGGAGTTCCAGGTGCAGTCAGGGGGTGCCTGATCAGCCGAACTCGCTGCTTTTGTAGGAAGACGAGAGAAGTGCCAAGACATCCCAGCTTACTGCTCTTGCAGTAAAGGCAAGTACACAATGGCGGCTGGTTCTGAGATCGCCAGGTGGCCTGGTGGGGTCAGGGGGGCTGCACCACCACACTACTCCATCAGAAGACCGTGTCACCTTCCCTTCTCCTGGATGCTGCAAGTAGACTGGGGTCAAGCCTTGGGCCCAGACCCAGAGGGAGAATTGCAGCACTGCTACCTTGTGCCAAGAAAATCAAGTGACTCTTGGCCAGTTTAGGAAGAAACCAGGATGCCAGGCCCCTGTTCAGTCATTTGCCAGTAGACAAAACTCTATGCATCAGAGAACCTCTCTAATTCCCTGCCTCCAGTTTAAACACTGCAATGATATGGGCCATCCTGTCTCTGATCTTAAATGAAAATTTAACTGGTGACCCTTTACACAAAATACACCACTGTTTTGCAATGGCTGTAATAGTTTATACTTACTACTCTTCATTACTAATGGCTGCAATGCAGCAAAAGTTTGTAAAGCAAAACCACTTCACCAAGACTATTATTTCACAATGTCTTCTCTTTCCCATGTACTAATGGCAGAACAGAATTCATCCTCGCAGACTGTGAGTGACTAGCTCCTAGATATGTTTGTGCAGAGAAAAGCTGTGTGTTAAAGTGATTTTCTCACTGTCACTTTGGTCTCCATATAGGAATGTGAGTGTCTGGCAACAGCCTGGCAGCTCACTGCTGTGCATTGTTGGCATGGTATCAAGTAGTGCCACTTTTAATTCAAACATTTCAGGGCTGCCTATCTCAATCCTTAAGATGCTGATCCAGGTTACGTGTAACTCAGAATAACGGTGGCTTAGGTGACAAATTCATCAGATGTCGAAGTAGAGTCCTGCCACAGTGCAACTTGCTATACGCAGCCTCTGGGACCAACAGGCCCAGTTCTTTAGATATTTAAATCAACAGATTTAGGGTCAAAGTCAGAGGCAGAGGAAGAGCAACTGACCCCAATTGCCCATACCAGAAAAATCCCATTCTTCACACACACACATTCACACACACAGGTGCCCAAGCACTCGCAGTCAACAACCACAGGTGAAAGAAGATGACTTTATACGTATTACATTGCACTACATTGTTGCTTGCAGCCTCATAGCCTTTTCACTTTTCCCTTAGTTGGTAAGCTACTCCGTGCAGTTGCCTTCAGGTGTATGTCTTCACTAGTGTAGAAATAGCCTAGGACTGCTCTGTGTATGGCTAGATACTACTCCTTGTATAAGTCAGAGCAGTCTTAC